GATATATTTACCTCGAACCAAAATGGCTGCCATGTCGTCGAAGTAGTCCATATTGTACTTGGCTGATCAAAACACAATTATACAAAACACTAACTACTAGGTGTACAGCAAAGGTTACGTTGTGATAAAGTACAGAATCAATAGGTAGTTAACCTGTACTGRTATAAYCATTGGAATTATCATAAYTCACAATGCTGACTTAAGCTCAAAACCGTTGTCCCTTTTGAAAATAGTAAAAAAGATGTGCCGATTATTATATTGTAAATAAGAGATAATTATCAATAATGAACTATACAGCTCCTCAAATGATGTAAAAGCGAATGATGCGGTCAAGTTGTCCTCGTCTGTTGGACAAAATTTCCGTTATCCACTAATAGTGTATTTTTTCGAAACGTCGTTTTCTTTTAAGCTTATTGTCAAATGTATTTATTTACTAACTTACTGATTGATTTTTATTTTACTATTTTTTTGGTTATTCATAATTTTCAAATACGACAACGCCGTTTTTGAAAACAAGAGTCAGTTGTACAAAAACACAAATACATTGTAAAAGTACGATATTCTTAATTGCACGAATTTGTTCAAAATGAACAGTACGTATGAAAATACAATTAAGTTATAATTCATGGTTCAAGCTAAGAAGAAGGGAACAGCAACCAAGTAATCTTTCAACTATTATGGCCGCCGTTTTGAATTGTATTGTTGTTGTACGTTTTTGTGGTTAATGATGAAATCAGTGCCAGGGATTTTATTTTATAATAACTGAAAGCATTTCTAACCTATTAAGATTTAAAAGCAGAGAATCTAACAAATACAGCCTTATTTGTGCGAAGATGTGACACAACCTCGTCCCAGGCCCTTCTCTTCTAACGATTTTCAAAATGGCGGGCGTAGGTAGTGTTCTCTTTTGGGCAACAACTTTTCAAGATGAAGACCAAATAAGCATAAAACAGCTAATCTTAGTTCAATCACATGGAGAAACCTTACAGGATAGCTTCAGACATAATGGTTTCTTGGTGTCTCGCAAACGAGGCACAGCATTTACAAAAGTTATTTTCATAGAACACTTTTTTGTTCGTGTTTATTTATCATAAGAATCGAAAAACTTGAGAATCAAACTCTTTTGATTACTGGCATATTTGCTGGATTTGTGTCGTCAAATGTAATGCTTTGACGACAAATTAAGAGAGAGTTGAACCATGAATTTGAAACATCCCTGGGTTGCAAAGCACAAACCAAGGAATTTCCATCGGAAATCTGATTTGGATTTCCGAGATTTCACAATGATTTTTATCACTGAATACAGTTGATTCCTTTCAAGGTTGCTTATGACCCTGGTTAAGGATAGTTTCAGTATTAAGTAAGGTTACTTCTATTTTAGTTGAGACCTTTTTCACAATAAAATGTCACCGTAAACACAGACAGTCGCTTATCTTTTTGTGGGTGGTATCTTGTGGGCATACTCGTTTCTTAAACAAGAAAGTGCTTGATAATGTGCAATTAATTTTCAATTATATTCCATTTAGCTTTGTGTTTGTGATGTAACACCTGCACAGATGATGTCGAAAGGAGATCAAAATAACCMACAAGTTTATTATTCTTAGGCCGTTTGCAAATAGGACAGATTAGCGAACGCTAGTTACGT